AAATGGGATATTGTAGGACCTGGCAATGTTTCATTCTGATGGGCATAAGACGCATAAGGTCGAAACCTACATGATGGTACCTACCAAAAACAACAGCAGTGGTTGAAAAAAATGTAAGAGAAGTCAAGGGGTGAAAGTTCTCTGGAGTGGCCTGAAGGAAATGCCAGGCTGGTTAAACAAAATAGTTAATAAGAAGGCCAGGGTCTCTTGGATGTACCCTAACAGAGGCCCAAGTCCGTATACATACAAATGGGATAATTTGGGTGGAGAAAAGAAAATTGAACTGAGTGTTTTTAAAAGGATTATGTATTTGGGTTTATGTGTTTAGCTGACTGTTGGATAGAGGTTTCTCCTGACTAGTGTTGAAAATAGGTATCATATGTGCGATAGAAACAAATATTGTTTTATGATTACAGAGAGCTTGTATGTTCACATTCAGCCTATTCTTATTGGATTTGTTAAAAGGGGAGTTAGAAATTTTCCCTGAAGAAATAGGTTTTTGTTTTAAGTCAAAGTAGAGTATTGGAGCCCTGGTAGTGTAGTGATTATGCATTGGGCTTCTAACCTCAAGTTCAGCAGTTCAAACCACAAGCCACGCCATGGGAGAAAGATGTGGCTTTCTATTCCTGTAAAGACTTACAATCTTAGAAACCCACAGGGCAGCTCTACCCCCTGCCCTATAGGGTTAATGTAAGTCAGAATTGACTTGATTGCAGTGAGTGAGCTTGGTTTGGTTTGGAGAGTAGTGAAAGCGCTCACCAGCTTGGGTGGAAACCTCACCCAGAACCTTTGCCACCAGTACTTTTTCACTTATTTGAAAAGACATGCAGATCCACCCAGAACAACTGAAAGAATAAGATTAGGAGAAAAAACGTTTGGCTTTTTGAATTTTGAGCTGTCTGCCTTTAGAGTCATCTTAGTAGGAAAAAGTTTGTTTCTATCAGAGAATGTCTCCTTTGAGGACTGAAGTTAAGGGAGCTGGCAGCAGCCTAGTATGCTCACTGTGGTGACACTTGGGTCCACTTGCATGGGAGGGAGTGGTGGAAATGCAGCAGTGATGACACAGGCTACATTTTGGCATGTTCTATTGACACCTGATGATCTGGTCCCCAGAAGCTAGAGATGAGAGATGAGAGAGAAGGGCTGGCTGCTCTGAAGTTTAAAAATGTGAGTGAATAGGGGAAGACATTGGGAGATTTTATGAGTTGTGAATTATAAAGCTGATGATCGACTCTCAAAATCTCCATTTAACGCACAATAAAAAGTTGTGTGGATCCTGAGCCTATGGTCAGGACCTAGCCCATGGGGGTGGGGTGGGGCGTGGTTAGGGTTAATGAGAATGTATGAATTGGTCAGTTAATCTGAAGTACAGGGAGATGTGTGTGAACTCCCAAGCTTGATACTGGTACCTATTTGATCTACCTTGGATTCCAGGGCTGAGTTGACCAGAATCCAAATGAATGAAAAGATAAATGTTGGCACTATGAACTGGTGTACATTGCTCTAATTCTGATGGCTTTCCCTGGATTGAATTATATTTATGAAAACAGATGCTCAAAGTTCAAATCATAAATAAAGATTCTTCTGATCAAAAACTTGCTTGTCTCCTCAGAGTACTGGCTTGATAGGGATAGGCAATTTAGCAACGGAATATCTAAAATAGGGAATGATAAAGGCATGAACTGGCTCATTTACCAGTTTTTTTGAGCGTGTTAGTGTCAATATGAAAAAATAGAAGAAAAAGCACAAGACAAGGGAAAATCCCCATTGAATAGTTTCCTCTTTTCCTCATGGGCTCAGGTAAAAGGAGGTGAGGGGACGATGTTGATTTGATTATATGATTACGGTATGAGTGATTGTTAACAGGGTCATCATGATTGTAAAAACAAATTGTAGTAGATGTCAGTGGGAAGGAAGTTAATTCTTCATGTATTAAAGAAGCAATGTCTAGAAGAGCCCAAAGGTAGGCCGGGGTGAAGTGAAATGATCAAAAGGGCTCTTCTCTCCACATCTTTGTAACACTCATCAAATAATTGGGTGCGATCAGGCAAATAGGGTATGTGAAATACTAATAGATGGGGTTGGACAGTTTTGCCATTGCACTGCATCTCAGTAGCAGAGAGAGAAGCCTGTGTCCATGAAGAAATAAGAGCCATCAGTGCGGCACATGTGAGATCCATGCCGTAAGTGGTGGAGGCAGCAGAGGCCCTGGCACTGAGCACATGAGACAGAGTAGAGGAGCAACACTGAGACCACGAGGCAGAGTGGTAGGATTCCTGGCGCAGGGAACAAAGCAGAGCCAAGGGACTAAGCAACTGAGAGGCCCGGAACCCAAGAAAGAGATGGTTATCAGCATAGCATTGCAGACAAAAGACCTATATCATTAACACTTTGTTACCTGTTGGCTTCCCTGATTAACTCCATAATTGTGAATATTGTCTATGAATTGTATGTGGTCACTGAAATAAAGGATCAAATCTAGCTAAGAAGAAGAGTGCTATGGGAAGGTTGGTGTTAGAATAGCATAAAGAATGATGGTGCGGGAGGCATGTTTAACTTCTGCCCTGTGGCAATTGCCCTTGGATTGGTGTGGTGTTGGATTCTCCTTTTCTTTTGTGTAGCCAGAGGAGGTGAGAGGTGGCCCATCACATTTCTTTAGTAGCTTAGCTCCTTAGCCAGACACGCAGACACTAAAGTGCTCAATGCTTTCCCACTGCCTCTACTTCTCCCACTTTAAGAGCTCAACAGCAACGAATGTACACACGTGCTTTACACAACTGATGTGTGTATGGATTGTGGTAAGAGTTGTATAAGCCTCTAATAAAACGATTAAAAGAAAAAGAGCTCAACAGCAATAAGCTAGGAAAGAAGATTAGAGACAAATGATTTCAGGGTGTACTTCTAAATAAGGGATCTGAAATAACATCGATACAGTCCATATTTCCAGTCAGGGAAAAGTCCAGTGTTTACAGACACTTGAAAGCTGCGATGAAGAGTCAGAAGGATGTGGAATGACTTCTGAGACATGGTGTATAACTAAGATGTATGGCTCTGCTGAGTGCTCTGCAGGGTTGAAAAGCCAGGAGCTGGGCTAAGGGAGACAGACATCAAGGGAGGGAGGACAGGCAGAAAGGGAGATGAACAGGGAGCCAAGATGAAAAAGGCAAAGGCAGGCAGGCTGGAGTGCAAAAAGGCTGGGTAGAAAGTCCCCGAGACAGTCAGCTCAGCTACTTCTGCCTCTCACCTGCTATGCCATCCTCTCCCCAGAGGCCTCAAAACTAAGACATGGCTCCATGGCCTTCCTGTCTCTCCTGAGAAGTAAGTCTATGAGGATGAAGTGCCGGTTGTGGTAAGGATTGGGTGGCACACAAACCCATGAACCTCTCAGCTCCTGGAAATACAGTGGGGCTCCTGCTAGGTGAGCTTCAGGTCCTGGCAATTTTTTTGCTAATGCCACAATATGTTCCTGGCCTCTGGGGATGCAGGGGTGCCAGATGCTGTTGCAGATCTTCCCTGGCCCTTATCTACCATCTCATCTGAAGGCAATAACCATGAAGTATCTATACTACCCTAGATCTGGGTGGGGCAACAGTCAGGGAACACAGTTGTGAGGAGAAAATCAACTCTTATGCACTCCCCAGCTTTGTGCACATGCATTTTCTTTGTATAGCACCCTCATACCTTTAGCACCAATGATAGCCTCTCTTGCAACCAGGCTTCCTCCCTGCGCAGGGCTTCGAGGTCCTCCTCCAGCCTAGCCCTCTGCATGCTGGTCTGCTGCCAGAGCAGCTCTTGTTCCATCTCCATCTCTGAGCGAAGCAGGGCCAATTGTCCACAGTATCCCTGCTCCAGGTGTCTACAATACCCACAAAGGAGAGACTGAGGGTACCTTTTGGGACACCTCCCTAAACTACCTCCCCAATGTCACACATGGCCTGGCCTCTGGAAGATTGTATATCCACTGACACAGTTTTAGACTCTGTGGCCTCCTGTTTGATAGAAAGTATCAGTGCTCTGACGACAGGTATCAGACACTGGACACCACATTCACTGGCTGGTCCTTCCATGGAGAACATGACCCCACACAGAGACAAGGTGTCAAGGGGCCAACCTTTTCACCAAGCCAGGTCTCTGCATCATTTATGACTTCTCTCTCCTGCTATCTGTTTCCCGAGGTACACGATTGGGCCTAATTCGTCAGAATTAGGAAGCTCAACATATTGTCTTGGTCACCCCTCCATGCTGGAGAGGGCCCCATTACCATTCTCAGGTTAGAGATGAGGAGACCAAAGGACTCAGCTTACCAAAAAGGCAAGGGGCTAAGGGCAAGAAAGCAGGATTCTAAAAGGGCATGCCCCGCAGACATCTTGCCCACCAGTGAAGGAAGACAGACCTGGTAGCAGGCAGCCAGGGTATTATGACTTCTGGCATGAGCCAGTAGAGTGAATGAGAAATGTAGAAGATCATTTCATGCAGCCCCACCTGTTTCCAGCAAAGCACCTTAAGTAAAAAAGGATTCAGGAAGGTGAATTACTAGCTGAGCTTGGCCCCCTCTGGCAAAGACCATTCTCTCAATAGGGGTGAAAAAACCTTGTACCCGATATGGTGTGGATATATGTGTGGATAGGTTTTCTTACGTCCTTTTCTCTGGCCTGGAAGCCATCACCAAACATATCACGCAGAGTCCCCCCCAAGACTGTTCAGTATGAAGGGTAATGAGAGGTAAGACTGAGACATTTGGGTGCCTTCGCTGTGTTTACTACTACTTGCTGAGCTCCTGACGCTGTTTGCAAAAATATCTTACATAACACCCATCACAAGCACAAACAATAGTTAAAGGTCTAACTTGAGCTGAGGGCAGGTCCAATGGACTGAGCAAAGAGAGCAGAGGTAGGGTAGAGAGGAATCTCTGCCGCCCACAGGCGTATAGAATGAGAAGCCAGTGCATACTGCACCAGCCCCACCTAGAGTTCACTTGATGCTTCTCCTGTACCCTCATCTTTCAAGGAAAGAGAGTCTTATGTTAGCTAATTTCATGTGTGCCGTTAGGTAGGCCATGGTGCGCCACTGCTTATTAACATATTGGCCCAGGTATTGCTATGAAGGCATTACATATGATTAGATATTTAAATCTGTCAGTTCTCAGTAAAACAGGTCATGATCCATGATGTAGGGGGGCCAATACAATAAGGTTAAGGTTTTCAGAGCAGAAGCTAAGGTTTCTGGAAGGAGAAGGATGTTTTAAGACCATGGACACCCTGCAGACAATCTCCAACCTGCCATTTGACCTATGGATTCTAGACTTGCCAAACCTCACAACGACATGAGCCAATTTTCTAAAATAAATGAATCATATATATCCCTCTATGTTTCTATCCATACAAACATCCATCTATCGTATTGATTGTGTTTCTCTGGAGGCCCCTGACTAATGGTACAAAACAAAGTCACAAATTTCTGGTTTCTACTGGCTCAAGTACGGGCTTAAACTAACTAGAACTATAGCACTCCCGCTTGGGTAGTAGCTATATGTCCTTCACCCGCCTTCTGGTCAGGGTAGGAGGGACCAGACTGGGGACAGTTGCTGTGATTCTAGAAGGGCTACTGTGCCAGGCTCTGACCCAGGAGCTATGTATGAGTCAGTGGCACCTACTTGATCCTGCGTTCAGTGAGCTGTTCCATGGCAGAGTGGCAGTCATCCATCTCTGTCACAAACTCCAGGTTCCTCTTCTCAGCCTTCTCCAGGTCCTGTCTTGCCTTGTCTCGCTCCTTCACCATTTGCTTCATTTGCCCTCTGCCCACAGGAAGGATACACTGTCAAATGCAGATACTACTCTGTCAGCTTCCCACAGAAGCACATAACCTGTTGCAGGGCCCTCAAACTCTGGGCCTGCATAAATGATAAAAACAGACAACATAAATGGTGTTGAGTGCAGGCCAGCCTTGTCTTTGAGTCTTTGAAGAATGGTTCTATAATTGTGTATCCTGATGTTAAATGACCTGCCAAGGAGTCTCTAGAGCAGTGGTTCTTAGCCTTCCTAAGGTTGTGACCCCTTAATACAGTTCCTCATGTTGTGGTGACCTCAACCATAAAATTATTTTTGTTGCTACTTCATAACTGTCATTTTGTTACTGTTATGAATCACAATGTAAATATCTGATATGCAGGGTATATTTTCATTGTTACAAATTGGACATAATTAAAGCATAGTGATTAATCACAAAAACAATATGTCATTATATATTGTGAAATACTGATTTCTAATGACAAATAAATGAAATTTTGTCTTGAAGCATGGTATAGTATGGGTAACACACCGGGTACTCATATGTGGGTGTATCTGCATGTGGGAGGACCCACCTGGAGATGATGGAGGAGCGGTGTCTTGGTTCCTAAGACCATTGGAAATATGTGTTTTTGGATGGTCTTAGGCGACCCCTGTGAAAGGGTCGTTCGACCCCCCAAAAGGGTCGCGGCCCACAGGTTGAGAACCGCTGTTCTAGAACGTTTCCAAATGCAAGACGTTTGGCCCTAAAGCCTGTGCAGGGTACCGGACAGTCCCAGAATACAAGAGCATTTGTCTGTAAGCCCCATTGTCTCCAGCACCTAATTTGGAATGGGATGTGTGAGGGGAGCCTTGTTATTGTTACACCCTTGGTCCATAGCCGCTTGACATCAGAATGAGTATGATTCTGTGCAGATTGTCTTGAGACAGCCACTATTCTAAGTAAAATCAATCTTTCATTCTATTTGCAGAGCTATCTGAAGTCAGAGCGATCATGTACTAATACCTAAGGAAAGCAGAGTCTTCAGGAATGAAGCAGTTATGACTTTTTTGTAATAACAGCACTTAAGATAGTGTTCTCAAAAAAAAAACCACACAAAACAAACAAACAAACAAACAAAAAGATAGTGTTCTCAAAAAAGTTATACTTCGGGAAACACTCTGAAGGATTAGCAACACCATGTTGCACTGGACATAACTCTGAAGTCTTATGAATTCAACTGCATATTAACTTTGTCCTTCCTCTCCAATGTCGGGGGTTAGCCCAGAAAAACAGAATGATCAAAAGGGTGTGTTGGCCAAGTTACACAATCTCTCTGTGCCTTAGTTTCTCTGTCTATAAAGAGAAGTTGGTAACAGAACATATTTAAGGGCTTCTCAGAATTTAAAGTAGTAAAGGTAAGCACTTGGGCTGACCAAGGCAGTGCTCAAAACCACCAGCCCTTCTGAGGAAGAAACAGGAGGCTTTCTGCTCCTATAAAGATTTAGTTGCAAAAACCCACAAGGACAATTCTACTCTGTGCTACAGGGTCTATATGAGTCAGAATTGATTAGATGACAGCGAGTTTATTAATAATAACATACACCCATTTGTCATTGAGATTGACATATAGAATGACTTTTCAAAAAGTTATTTTCATAGGTTAAAATTGAACACATATACTTTGTTTTTCCTTTCGGCCTACTTTTATTTTTTATTTGTTTTAGTTTCTATTATTGTCTACTTTCTTTTGAATTGAGGTTTCTTTGTGTTTATTTTGTTTTTCTATGATTTTCTTTATATAAAATCCAGGATAGGTAATCTGTAGAGATAGCAATTAGATTAATAGCTCCTTAAGGTTATGGCAGGGGAGGCTGGGGGTTATAGGGAGCTAATAATAATGGGCACAAGAATGAAGAAAATATTCTAAAAATCTTTGTGGTAATGCCTACACAATTCTTTTTAAATATGTCTAAACCATTGAATTGTATGGTACATGACTTATATGCCAATAAAACTGTTAGAAAAAGTTATCTTTCTATAAAATACTATCAACTTTTATCCCTGTGAATCTACTTAGAAGAACAGCATGAATAACCAGTTGGGTGAAAGCAGAGCTCTGTTGTAATGGAACACGGTGGCAACTGCCATCTTGTGCTCAGTGAAAAGGTCTAAGAAGCAATTCTTTGTGCTTTCAGTCAATTGGCTTAAGCCTGGGGGCTCTGCTGGTCGGTCTGGAGAACATTTCCACCTCCATAATAGCAAGCAAAATGTCAGTCACATAAGTTTTAAGTTGGATTCAGCTGCTTGGGATATTATTAAAGGGATTAAGTTAGGATTTTGAGATCTAGCTTTCTGAGCCTCTCACCAAGTATGCAGGAAGGCTGGGTCACTGAAAAGACCTGTGGCAATAATAACCATAGGCGGCCACTTGCTCGTTAGGCCCTATTAGGAAGAGGCAAAGTGTCTCTCACTACACCAGAGACCCTTCTCCTTTTCCAACCACAAGTTGCCTATCGAGGGTGGTGAGGGCAGGCAAGGAAGCAGCCCAGACCCTTGTCAGTCCTGGACCCCTGAGAACAGACCATACCCCCTAGCACTTGACACAACCTCTCACAGCCTCTTACTGGAGGTAGCTCAGCTCCTGGTGGTAGGAGGCCAGGGCTGCTTGCTGAATGACACCAGTGACCATCATGAGCTTGTTGTCGATAGCCCAGGCCAGATCCAGAAGGTTCAACTTCTCATCCACACTGAATTCGAGGCTCTAGAAATAAATCCAAGGGACATTCAAGATGAGTTTAAGTCTCTCAACAATTTGGCTCCAGACTCCATTTTCCTTGGCTTTCCCACTTGCCTGAGATTTTTCCTCTTGGGGCTGTCCCCACCCCAACTCCTAGGCTGTCAATAG